TCCTGTCTCGCCTCCCTCTCCTTCTCCAGCTCCTCCTCCCGCTCCTCCTCTCGCTCCTCCTCCTTCTCCCGCTCCTTCTCCCACTCCTCCCGCTCCTCCCACTCCTCCCGCTCCTCCCACTCCTCCCGCTCCTCCTCTGCCAAACAACGTGACAAAGATCCCGCCATAGCTATCTCCTAAGGAGAAAAAACGAAAAAAGGCCGGCCACGTGGCTAGCCGCAGAGAGAGAGAGAGACTGACCTCCTGCTGCTCCACCACAACTCCGTCCTCCTCCCGCTCCTTCTCCCGCTCCTCCTCCCTCTCCTTCTCCTGCTCCCCCTCCTGCTGCTCCTCCCGCTCCTCCTGCAGCCCCCTGCGACGGACCGCACCGCTTCACAACCGGGAGGGGCCCGCCACGCGTGACACATTTCCATGCGGAGCGCCAGTCTGGGACCGTGCTGCGGCCCTCCCGTTTTCCTGCGGTCTCCAATTCGCGCCGACCCCGCGCTGTTTCAGCCCACCTGTGGTTCCACTGCTGTCCCTCCGTCGGCACACGTGACAGCGGGCCCCTGCCACGGTTTCCCTGGGCCCACAGCGGCGTGTGTCGCCAGGCCCTTTGTAACTTTCAAGAGTATAGAGAAGAGATTATGCAATTTGGTCTTCTGTACTTTGCATAGCTCATTTTCCTTGCAAATTAATTGGCTAAAAAAAAAACTATCATTATACCATTTCCCCGTACCCCCTTCATGCCCTGGCCATCAGATGGGGATACATGCACATTTCCTACACAGCCCAGGAGATTTTTGACCTTGCAAACGTCAAGACGAAATTCATTTTTACCTTTGCCACTACCCAGCCAATCAGCCAATCCACATCGCTCCGGTGATTCGCAATGAGCAAACAGTGCTCCGTTCCTGCCCAAAACCCACAAGAGAGACAGGTAAAACAAACAAAGAGATGGATGACGAGCTAGAGTATTACTGCCACTCCTCAAGAGCGTTGGAACAGCCAGAGCAAGAGGAAATCAAAATCCACGGCCATAAGTCCAACATCAAAAAATAACCATCCAAATGTCCTTAGATGAAAAAAATCAGTTGCCTTCATGTCAGCTATCCAATAACCCAAGCAGCAGAGAAGAGAAACTGATGGGTTTTCTTTTTTCTTCTTCTTCTTCTTTTTTCTTCTTCTTTTCACAGGGGCCATGCTTATGCTCTCTGGTCAGAATTTATAGTAATTTTATACACAGTCAAATAGAATGTTGTTTGCTCTCTGGATGGCGAGTGGACAATATTCAAACAACTAGCCCCTCAAAGCAGCAACTGCAGTTCAGGACGTACCTTAAGGACATGCTTATCAAGAGACTGCAATAGCAGCAAGCATACCGCTTATCAAGAATCCACAATAGCAGCAAGTGTACGCTAGGCCTGAACTCGGGATGTAACTTATAACGAGCACACAGTTAAAATCAGGAACCTTGTCTGCTCTCTGGACAGCATTTTGGACAGAGTCAGATAAAATGTTATTTGCTCTCTGGACAGCACATGGACAATATTCAAGCACCTGGTCCCTCAAAGCAGCAAACTGCAGTTCAGGACGTACCTTGAGGACAAAATGAGTCGATCCATATTGTCCAATGTTGGAACGTAAACACACATACAGTCTGAACTTGTTGGCAAACTTAGCACACTCATTGTTCGAACTCGTCCAAATCTGTGACTCCTTACCACCAACCTTCTTTGTTTTCCCGTTTTCCACTAATACATGCTTCCATTGATGTCTCCTTACCACCAACCTGATCAACAAGCAGATGAGTCCATGCTCGGCTGCGGCAAAGGCCTGCAGCAAGGTGGCTCCACCCGGCCCCCTCCTAAAGACAACATACCACTGACATCACACAACTCTGCCACCAGCATGCCAGGGATAAACATAAGAGCAGAGCATCGCAGTGCGGTGATCGCTTGCATAGTGACAGAAACATGTAACCTTTGATGGGTGAACAACACTCAAGTTTACAAGTGCTGAAAGGTCACAAGTTATCACAGTCCTTCAACAGAGCTCAAAGTTCACACTCCCGTAAGAACGCCGCAGCAGTTTGTTAAACTCACCTAAGGCTTTCCATGTTGCCTCATCTGTGAAAAGCCGCACCTGAAAGGCAAACAAATAACCATTTCAAAAAGCAAGCAAGGATGAGCACTTTTAATCACAGTCCTACCGAAAACCCATGAGACCAGCCAACAATCCTGTCTACATAATAGGAGAAGTCCCCGTGTTTCCCAGGGACAAAATCCAAAGCCATGAGAGCAACCGAAAAGAAAACAGTTTATACACGAGGAGTTCCCGTGTTCCCCAAAAACAAGGAAAACCTCACAAGAGACACTGCCAAGCAAATAACAGATATCATTCCGGAAGCCAATGTGTACGTTACCTTTTCACCCATCTGTAGAAGCAAAGAATGAGCCTACTATGCAAGTGCCACGAAACTGTCATACAGGCCTGGTCAGACATACCAACAGGTGAGCAGCTGGGCACACGGGAGGGTGGACAGCAGAGGTAGGCGAAAGGCGCACATTCACGGGGGCAGGTGGAAGGGCAGCAGAGGCAGGCGGGCAGACAGCGGGGTGGACAGCAGAGGCAGGCGGTTGGACGGGCAGTTGAAAGGCGGGCAAGCAGCAGGTGAGTGGATGGATAGACGAACCGGCAAAAAAAAGGAAAAATAGCAGGTAAGGAGTGTGGGAAGTAACAACACATGCACAAGGATGACACACATAAATCGAGGGGTCCTTCGGGACTTCCGTTAAAACTGGAACGATACAGAGAAAAAGAGGATGGCCCCTGCGCATGACACAAAAAAATCGAGAAAATTGTCCAAAAAGAAAAAAAACAAAGCATGGGAAGTAACAACACATGCACATGCTGGATGGAAATCAGCTATGGACGGTAAAGGCAAAAGGGAGCTTGACTGCAAGACTGACTCGTCGAGCAGGGACGAAAGTCGGCCTTAGTGATCCGACGGTACCGAGTGGAAGGGCCGTCGCTCAACGGATAAAAGTTACTCTAGGGATAACAGGCTGATCTTCCCCAAGAGCTGTCTCTTATACATTCCCCAAGAGTTCTCAGCCTAGTAACTTAAACAAGCAGGCCACCAGGCATCTGCGACAAGTAAGACTCCAGTGCATCAAAAAAGAGAGAAACAAAAGCAGAGCAGTTAGGCACTGTACATGCCGAATTCACAGGCACCCGCAAAAAGTACAATTCCATGGCGCTACGAGAGAGAGAGAGAAGAAATACAGAGCAGCACTATACATCGAATTCACAGGCATCTGCAACGGGTATAGTTCCACCGCGCCAAAAGAGAGAAAGAGAAAGAGAGGGAGGAGGAGAGAGACAGAAACAGAGAGAGAAGCAGAAACAGAGGAGAGCAGTGAGGCACAGTACACGCCGAATTCACACTCACCTTTACCCCAGCTCGCCATTCCACCAGCCAAACCATCTGAGACCAGAAGGCATCTGCAATAAGTCCATTGATGATACGGTATATCCGTTTGGAGAATGGCCAGACAAATAAAAGAGAAAGAAACTGCCAAAAGACAACCAAAGCCAACAGAAAAACACCAGTCACACTCACTGCGGTAGCCCATCTGTTTCATCATGGCCCAACACAATCTCATTCAGAGACAGCAAGACAGTGAGTGGAACCCGCGCGCTTTTGCCGAACTTCATCCAGACTTTCAGTCAGACAGACAGAGGGGGTAGATATTGCTAGAAACGCAGCCATCCTTTCACACCGGTACGATCCGTTTCCAAAATTTGATCGATGCTTGGGGTGTGACAGGCAAACACCTTCTTTGAGATGGTTATGTCCCAGCCTCTGACTCAGAAGGAAAAAAGAATTAGTTCTTTTCCAAGATACAAAACGAGAGCCCAAAAAAAGGAAAGAAAACTGCATATCCTTCGGGACATCCGTTAAAACTGGAATGATACAGAGAAGATTAGCATGGCCCCTGCAGAAGGATGACGTGCACAAATCAAGAAATGGACCAAATGGTCCAAAAAATAAAAATAAAAAGAAGGGCCAGCTGTCAAGCTCAGTTGGTTGAGCACGTAAGTTGTATTCAGGAGCTTGTGGGCTCATTCCCCATGGCATCCTTTTGACCCCCCGCGGCTTCTTGAGGCGCACTACTGGTTCACCAGCTGAGATGGTCCGCTTGGCCCCCCTACTCTGTCTTTTTTTTGGGGGGGGGTATTCCTTCCCCCCATCTACCGGTAGGGGTTAGGAGCCCGGGTACTGCTTCCCGCACAGAGCAGAGTAGAGTCGACCTCGGAGGAATAGGCTCAACCCATAACTCTAGAGGTAGCTTAGTACTAGCCAATCGATATGTTGTGTGGTGGTTTTCCTTCCTGTCACTTAAGCCCCCATCGCCCACATGCGGTCTTCGGTCCGTAAGTGGCTCTAGTTCACTTGGTCATATTATTCCAGGCTGCTTCGTCGTGTTTGTGGGTAGGACAGTGATATGGGTAGCTAGTGTAGGGTAGTAAAAAAAACAACTATCCCCCATATGAGGAGAAAACAGCTGTATTGTTATTAAAAAAAAGTACAAAATACAACTATCCCCCATATGAGGAGAAAACAGCTGTATTGTTATTAAAAACAAAATAAAAAAATACAACTATCCCCTAGGCTGAACCCTGCAATCAGACTCCTTTCATTCACACTTTTCATGCATGCAAACAGTAGCGCAGCAAACTGGCGACGAGCGCCCACACAGAACTCAGAGATATGGTCGCCGAAAACACAGTCCAGATACAAGTTCACTTTCAATGGCTATGACGACTAGCGCCCAAACAACTCTCTGTTTGCATACACCGGATCACCCTGGATATCCCACACGCGTAACTCTGCACTCACACACACACACACGCTACACACTAACTCTAGCTATGGCGGCTATGGCCGCTACTACCCTATCGCTATGCTACGCTCCTTCTCTCTCGCCCACTTCAGCTCCGGGCTCACTGCAGACCTCCTTGCACAAGTCGCTGTGGCAGCGCTTCCGCATGGCTCA